CGCTGCCGGACCTGCGTGAACAGCCGCGGTGCTGTGCTTGCTTGCAGACGGTGCTGGTGATCACCTACCACGAGCCCCAAAACCCCGAGTACCAGCACTTCCAAACCCAGCTCATCCTGCGAGCCAAGGAGAATTTTGGGGTGCAGCTCAACTACTCCCTGGTAAGTGGGGCCCCGTGGGTCTGCATGCCAGGAGGTGAGGACCGGTCTGACCGGGGCTGTGGCATGTCCCCAGTGTGCAGAAGGTGGGACATGACCGCGTGCAATGCCAGAGGTGCTGTCTCCGGAGGCTGTGTGTATGGCCTTGGTGCTTGGGGTTATGGGGCTGTGGGTGGGTGTACGGCCCCGATGTCTGGGCTCATAGGGCTGGGGACGCTGACGTCTCTCCCCGACAGATGAACCTGGTGGCAGGCTGTTTCTACGACGGGGTGCTGCTGTACGCCATGGTGCTGAACGAGACGCTGCGGGAGGGCGGCTCCAAGAAAAACATCACCCGCATCATCCAGAAAATGCGGGACCGCAAGTTCCAGGGTAACGGTGGGGTCGGGGTGGGAGTCGAGGCCGGTGGCCTGGCTGGGCCGACGCAGTGGAGCTGGCACCCGTGGTGGGAGCTGAACATGGTCCCTCTCCCACCTGGGTCTCGCTTCTCCTGCAGGGGTGACGGGGCTGGTGAGCATGGACAGCAACAACGACCGGGACACGGACTTCAACCTTTGGGCCATGGGCGATCCCGAGAGCGGGCAGTACGAGGTGGGGGCTGGTGCTGGCCCTGCGGAGCCGGGGCAGCGGGGAGCGTGCCCGCAGCCGGGTCTGGGGAAGGGATGCTCGGAGCGCTGTGGGTGGGGAGCTCCAGGGCGAGTTGGAGGGCCCTGGGGCTGGTGGGGGTCCGCAGGCTCAGCGCTCTCTCCCCGTAGGTGGTGGGACACTACTCGGGTGCGGAGAAGCAGATCCACTGGCTGGGGCCCATCCACTGGGTGAAGGGGGCACCCCCCCTGGACAACCCGCCCTGCGTTTTCGACGTGGATGACCCCTCCTGCGATAAAAGTGAGTGTAGTGGGGCAGCTAGCCCCCAAGCACCGACATCCCGGCTTCCCCCATCCCTTGGTCCCCAGCGCCCTTCCTCAGTGGGCG